AAGAGTCCAGGAAAAACACAACCAGGCAGATGAGCTCTGAGCCCGCTCCCATTTTAGAGGATAAAGTGAGCACATCCAGCCAGTCACAGTCAGAGAAACAGGACTACACTGAAAAAACAAGCCAATCTTGAACATCTATAAACAAAGGTGTTGATGGCAGCAGCACAGCTGATATTTCTGATTCCATTTATCACTGCTTAAACGTTTCTGTCAACATTGTTCTTATCCATCTCATTCTAGAAGTCCAGCCATTCATTCCAATCCATCAAGGCAACACTGAATAAAGGTCTGCTGTGGATGAACAGGAAATTACTTCCCTGCTACGGGCAATATTTCATGGGATTTTCCCTAACAATTACTCAGCTGACAGAGAGATCTAGAGACCGGAGCACAAACCACCGGGGAGGATTTATCCCGTTCTCTGCACCCTCATACCCACAACCAGGTAGCATAAAATCCTGATGATCACAGGCGGATTTTCAGGCTGATCTGCGACTGACAACAGAGATGTTGGAGAGGTGGCAGGTGAGTGAGCGTTAACAAAGTCCCAATCCAAATGTTTCCTCTGTGCCAAACCCCCTTTTCAATTTGCCATCTGAGATCTCACACTGTGATTAAAAGCACGAGGTAGGCAGCAAACGCCAGCTTTAATCACTGCACAAACACAAAGAGAAAATGGTTGAGTTTTCCGATCCACTGGAGTGTGAAAGTGTGTGATTTTCTAAGACAGCTGCTAAAAACTGTCAGTTCCTTGAGTAAAACTGTCACCGTCACCATTTTACACACACACTTTTACAGAAAGTTTACAGCAACCTCCACTACGGCATTTCTTCTGCCTTCTTAAATGTAGATGTATGCATTGTGTGTGAATGTGTGTGTATGACGCAGAGAGATACCAGGCATGTGGACCATCCTGCAGTTGCAGTTCTCCACCAGGTATCGTGTCTCACAGTCGATTCTGCAGGCAGTGATGCTGTAAGTGCTGAAGAAGTCTGAGTCCATTGCCGAGGACTTGCAGTCACCCCATGGTGGGGGCAAGTACGTCAGCTGAGAGAGAGAGAGACAAAAAAAACTCTTTTTAGTTACAGCGTGTTATTAAGAAATCCTTCCCTGCTTGTGTGCAGATAATGCAGTCCTGACCTTGTACTTCCTGTCAGGAAGATGAGAAACTTGTTACCCAGTCTATAAAAGAGGCCATTTCCCAACAGACAATACACATTACACAGGTCATTTGCTGCATTAGACTTTAGAGAATGAATCCCATTCTTACTTCATGGTGAATACATCTGTACAGTGATGGTTTTTGTAGGAGCTGGTCTCCTACGCTCTCCTATTTCTAGTCTCCCTCTGGGCTTTTATCGTACTGCCCACTCTTCATAAGAAGCCCAATAGCACCAGCTGTGTAGTAGAAAGTGTTTCTGCTGGAAGAGTTTCGGTCTCTATATTTTTTTAAAAGAAAAAAACATGCAACTGGAGTTCTAACCAAACAGTTTTATGCAATTCTTGTGCAACATCTGTAAATTAAACCCTCAGACTTCTGCTAATTTTTTAGTGGGAGTCCTGCACAAAAGTCTTCTGAGAGTCATTTCATATCGGCCTATTTGTTATGCTTGATCTCAAAGTGTAAGTAGCGCTAATATTTCAGGTGCTTTAAACAGATGGATATATTTTAGCTCGAACTATGTTATTACATTCTCTGTATGTAAACATACATTGTTTTTTTTGTTTTGTTTTTTTCTATAAGTTTTTTGCTGCGGTAAACACCTAAATTTCCCCATTGTGGGACAATAAAGTAACTTTCTATTCTATTCTTTTCTTTTATATTCTATTTTTCATAACATGATAGTCTCAGACTACATTTTTCCTGTTATGTAAGTAGTACCGTGATAAGTTCTATTTACTTAATGTTCAACAATTATGTTATCAAAGAGGTGCAGAAATGCTATAATGGGAATTTCAAAGAAACCAGCCATGATATCAGGAATATATATATATATATATATATATATATATATATATATATATATATATATATTTTTTTTTTTTTAATTGTCATTACACTGTCACAAGTACAGAGCAATGAAATGAACTCTCCGCATTTAACCCATCCCCTTGGGGAGGAGCGGACTTCCATTGTGCGGCGCCCAGGAAGCAGTGTGGGATTAAAGATGTCATAGAATGCAAAACCAAGTTTCCATTGTTATAGATGAATAACGATAGTTCAGTGGGTGAAATGGACGTAAAGAGAAGTTCAAACCCCATCTACACCCCCTTTCTCTGCAAATCTCACAATTCTAAACTTCCACCATAAAACGGGCGAATCCAAACAAAGCCCTGAGTTGAAGTAAACTCAGGGATGTTGCCTTATTTGGTTCTGGCCTGTGCTCCTGGAAATTGACATACAGACCAGCCCACTGGTTCCAATAGCCCAAGGGGGGCGGGGTGTCGACTGCTGGGCCGCTGACTGGACCGGACCTCAGCAGAGAGCCATGAGCTGCCCGCCCTAAGCCGGAGGAGGGGGGCTGGGGGCAGATAAAGCAGGAGGGGGGAAGCTTGGGTCGGGTTTGGTCGCTCCGTCCCCTACTGGCTCCCTGGCCCATCCGTCGGGGTTCCCGGACCAGCCCTGGAACTGACGGCTCGGTTTGAGTGCCCTGTGTGTTTCGACTACGTGCTTCACTGTAGTCGACCACAATCCTGGACGATTTTGATATTCCCCCCGGACATTTTTTTTAGGTATGAAAAGTAGGACATGTCCGGGAAAAAGAGGACGTCTGGTCACTCTACCATATCAACAATTTCAATGTTTCGATGAGTGAGTGCTTGTTGCCATGATGCGTCTTTGCTCAGCAGCTTCGCTCGTTGTAAACCAGCCAATCAGCACACAGCTCATCTAAATATTCATGATCATACCATAAAAGGAACAAAACCTGTCGTTTCATTCTAGGGCTTTTAACCAGGCTTGCATTAGGGATCATAGAACAGCAAATATGCCATTTTCAGTCCAACCAATGTTACACACCCTATTAGAGACCTTAAGAACCAGCACCAAATACCCTATAGATTCATTCTATGACCCCTTTAAAGGTCTTTTTGCTCAAGGACCAAGAGTGGTAGTCTGTGGGAGTGAAGCTCAAACTCTGGATTCCAAGCTCTATGCCCTAACCTCTAGGCCTTCCCCTACGTTCAGAAGTATGATTTATCATTAGGCATCATTTCTTGGTATCTGAAGGTTTCACTGTTCCTATAATAAAGGGGACAGATTCTGTCTTGTAGAGAAGATCGTGTTTGGGTGCATAATACGTCTAACAACCTCGGAACAAAAGCTAGAGACCTTGTGAAAACGCTCAAATGAGGGTGTTAAGAGAATGTGATCACCCAGAACAAAGCCAGTGCTGTATCAATAGAGGTTCAAAAAGGGCACATACAGACCAATGAAGGGTATAGCTGAAAGGTAGAGTGTGAGTGGGAGGCAGCTCACAAACCAGAGTCATCTACAACTGTTTTATCAGGAGAAATTGACCAAAATTCCTGCAAACTTTTATTGGAGACTTTGTTGAAATATACTATAACGGGTCTACTTTTTAAGTCACTTTGGATAAAAGCATCTGCTAAATGCACAAATATCAACATATCCCATATAGATGACTTAAGTCTTATTATTTCTGTTGATCCTAAAACAGGGATTTTCACTTTACACTGGTTATAAGACAGTGTGCTGTACAATTTAAAACGTTTTGATGAAAGAACTAAAAAAAAAAACCTGTTATTACTGATGATTTGAAAGTCATGATCACTAAAACCAATATATCAAAGGATTTTAAAGCAATGTTTAAATAAAGCATAATAAGACATAAATATAATCTCTTAGTTTTAGTGTTGTATTAAAATTAACTTTGTTCCTAAGACTTCGCTTAGAGTTTGTCAACGCTTATCTTTTATGAGCACTTAGCATTTGAGACGCATCATAATGTGAAGCTCTGTGGAAGGCGATATGTCACGGCAGAAATAAAACCTTGCCGGCTCAATTCATAATGTCTAAGCAAACTAAGAGCTCCAACTCAACATTAGATCCTTTCGATCAGATAATTCAGCTTGAAGTGATATTAGACTAAAAGTCTAAAAGTGATTGAATGTTTCTCATTAAAAGCTGTAGAAAAAGAAATACTGCTTTTAATAGATAATAGATAAATAAATGCTTATTTTTTCAACCTTGAGCAAAAATAATATCATAGGAATATAAATCTTCAAAACAAGTAATGCTTGTTTTGAAAAAAAAACAAAATAACATGATAAAAGTTTATCTAAGAGCACTCTCTTGCTTTACTTTAAAGAGAATGATTAAAGTGTGTTCAAGTCTCTTGAAAAATCCTCAAGCGCAACGTTCTGGTTGCATTAATGTTCAAACTTTTAGGCCCCATCCACTTTGAGACAAGATAAGGTGCATCTATAACGGCATTTTTTTGTTTGTTTAGGCAGTTTATCCACATGGACCCGGCTTTTTTGGGAGACCGTAAGGATCATTTTTCAAAGTGGGTTACAGATTAGAAAGATTCCATGTTTCTGTGTTTGTACATATAAGCCACTTCTTTTTAAAACCAATGACATCTCTCCAGCTGTCTGCACATGCCAGGCGTTTTTATCTATGTTTTTTTTTTTGTGATTCTGTGGCAGTGTCACAGCGTCACCAAAAGGGCATATGTACTGCAGTGTCACCAGTGGCAGCAAAGACCAGAGGAAGAAAAACAAAAATCTGAATATACCTTTTAAGAAGTGCATCGGTGCGAGATGTGATAATTTGGGAAATTTCAAGAGGTTTTGTAAGGCAGAATAAAAACCTATTACAAAGTTAAGATTAAGCATGGTGACAGAATGCAAATAATAAACACAAGAATTTAATCCAAAGGTACATAAAGGATGCAAAACCTATGCATTAAACCTATGGTTATCTATTGCAGTTTAATTATTAAAGTATGGAAGTTCATCATTTTTTATCACCTAAAAGTTTAAATTTTAACAACTTAGTCATCAAAATTAAGGCAAACAGAAAAGAATGAATAACTTTGTTTCAGACAATTCAGTAAAAAGAAAATTTTAACACATACAAACACTATATATATTTAATGACATATATAATTATATGTAAAATGTTGTGTTTATGCCCGAAAAGGGGGAAAAAAGAAGAAGTGAAACATTTAATTATTCCCTTCCTTATTCCCTTCCCCATATAGTTCTTAACACCAACGTACTTTACTTATGAGTTCATGCTACAACAAAACACACTTATTTAATTCTTGTCTGCTATTTAATATAGCTATTCATCCACCCCTGAACCTCCCCTTATACCTTATAATGCTCTGACTTCCTGATTATATTGTGATCAATTGTGTCAGATGCTTTTCTCAGATCAACAAACAAACCAATTGAAAATGTCTTTTTATCTATGGAGTGGTGACTTCCTCTATTAACCTCCAGAGCTGCCAAAGCAGTGGATCTCTGTGATTTAAATCTGTATCGACTCTCAGAAAGTAGTTTCTGTTTATCAATGGAGTTTTTCCAGCCTGCTAATAGTCTAATCACAGTGAGCTTTTCTAAAATCTTAGAAAACTGTAGAAGGAAAGAAACAGGCCTATAATTTGTGAATTGGTATTTATAGGTTTTTGTAATGGCAAGATGTTTGCAGTTCTAACGTTGTTTGGAAATGTACTAATTTGGAAAGAGTTTACAGATATGAGTCAGTGGCGATGTGGCTATAAGAATAATTGTCTTGATGCCAAAAAGAGCCCAACAGATTTTACTTTCACAAGTGGAGCAGTACGGCTATCGCCGTAGTGTTCCGCTTGATTTAGGCATATAAATTGTTTTATTATAATTATGCAGGGAGTTTTACAGATTATATGGACACTGCAATGTAGGTAGAAAAGGAAAAGAAAAACAGGAGAAAAGATGAAAGAATGACTGTTGTAATATTAATGTATTCACAGTATGAGGACCTTTTATTTTTACATTTGTAAAACAGGAATGATCTCTCATTTTCACTGCTGTAAAGA